GACAAGGATAGACATGGTTATAGGTTATAATTTTTTCGAACGTCTCATTTTTATTCCAGGCTTTCAATCTCAATTTCAAAGGTACGTTATTGTTTGTGCACGTCTTCTGAAGGGTGGGAACATTTTATTTCGTATGTGGTGGTCGTCACGTATAACAAAAAATGTTAATTTTTTTTTCGTTTTTGATATAAATTCGACCACCATGACCTAGATTTTGATGCGTACTTTAATTCTAGACAAGAATTTTGTATTTCTATAAAGCCAATTAAAGATAAAGAATTTTACTTTATATACCCCAAGGGGCCTTAAAGGGCGTTTTGAAGGGACGTACCCAACCCTAACCTCCAATTTTCATCCACTACCTTACTGTTTCCTCCTTTGGACCAACGGTTTAACGTCTCTTCCGAAAGACGGAGCCCAGTTTTCTCCGCATCTTGCACGGAGGGGCGCGGTTTTTTCGGAAAAAAACTTTTCCATGATTCATGGCTCTAGTGGACTCGAACCTGGTTCCTCAGATTACGAGTCTGGCGCTCTACCACTAGACCACACCGCCGCCCATAAAGCCAATTAAAAGATTAGTGCTAAGAAAAAAACGGAAAAACCCGGCTAGGATCACGGCTTTAGGATCACCTTAAGAGCCAAAATGGAAATTCCGGTCGCGATGTGCGGCTGATCTTACTGATTAAAACGAGCATAAGTTTAATAAGATTCGTTAATTAATTTGGCTAAACTTTTAAAAAGTTCGAACTACAATTGGTTTTTTTTTTTAAGTTTAGCCAAATTAATTAACGAATCTCATTAAACTTATGCTCATTTTAATCAGTAAGATCAGCCGCACATCGCGACAGAGCCGGATTTTCCATTTCGGCTCTTATAGGCCAGTCATATTAGACATCGAACCTTCCAATTAATCTTCCCAGGTTGCAACCACTATGAATTGCTTTGATTTGAGGTGCTGTAAGTGGGATTTATTTTGCTTCGCATTGCGCATGCGCATTACAAAGTTATTAACAATATTATCAACAAAAAACGCAATTTTTTTTATCTTTTCTCAAATATCTCGAAAACTAACCAAGATAGGGTAACTAACTATACGTACCTTTTTTGTAGAGCGTAAAATTATGTACAATAATGATCTGAACAACATTTATCGTCAAGTCAGTCGTTTAGCTTGCACGCGCCGTCAAAGTCCGAGACTCGGATCCCGAAAACCCTCGATTTTATCGTTTTTTTGATGTTGCGTCGGTGATTTTTTTCCGTCATTTAAAATGGAATTAAAAATTCCAAAAAAATCACACATCATCTGTGAACTACAAACAATACTTTTCAGGGTGTAACCAATTTTTTAGACCCTTTTTCTTTAGTTTGTAGCTATGTAAGCAAAAAATTTTGATTTTTTGGAATAGTCTTAGTTTTTTGCTGTTTTCAGGCCTTAGAATTTATTTGAGACAAATTTTGTCGTATGCATTTTGTTGTGGACGAAATTTGCAACAAAAAAAGACCCTTGTATTTTTTTCGTACAACAAACGCTGATTTTTTTATTGACGCGCAAAGTTATCCAATATTGCGCACAGGTCGGATAACGCTTGTTTTTCACTAAAATAATTGTTTTTTTAATTAAAATTTACGTAATTTTTTGCACATTATTATTGAACCATATTGCAAAGCCGTTTTCAACACATTCTTTCATTTTTACTTATTTATTAACAAATTGTTTACTTAAAAATTATTATAAACAATTAGAAAAACATGTTATATTCGTTGTACTCGTTGTCTCATTTCAACTCAAAAAATGTTTTTAAAAAATTTATTCACATTATTTATAACATTTATTCAAACATACAGTGCATCTTTTGACTATTTTTCACACCACCTCTGAGGTAAAGTCAATGGTGCGTTTTTTTTCTGTGGTTTCCCCAGTAGACCTAATCCACAAGCATTGAAAATATGTTCTTTTGATGTGATAATTATTTGGATATTCCTTGAATACACTAAAACTATCCATTTTCATTTTAAATAACGGAAAAAAATCACCGACGCAACATCAAAAAAACGATGAAATCGAGGGTTTTTGGGATCCAAGTCTCGGACTTTGACGGCGCGTGCAAGCTAAACGACTGACTTGACGATAAATGTTGTTCAGATCATTATTGTAGATAATTTTACGCTCTACAAAAAAGGTACGTATAGTTAGTTACTCTATCTTGCTTAGTTTTCGAGATATTTGAGAAAAGATAAAAAAATTGCGTTTTTTGTTGATAATATTGTTAATAACTTTGTAATGCGCATGCGCATTGCAAAGCAAAATAAATCCCACTTACAGCACCTCAAATCAAAGCGATTCATGGTGGTTGCAACCTGGGAAGATTAATTGGAAGGTTAACCCCATAAATTAGTCTAATATGACTGGCCTATTAAGGGGAGGTTACCGTTAAAAAAATCGAATTTTTTTTGCTTAATTTTTTACTACGTAAAACTTTAAACGCGTTTTTCTCGAAACAGCATTTTTCGGCGCGCGGGGCGCTCTACAGCTTCAACGGATGAACCGAGTTTAATAAATGACGGTGCAAAAGAAAGGAAATTTAATTTAGGGGGCCTTCAGGAAGCGTTTTTTTCAGAAAATTGGTTGCAAATAATTTTTTTCGAACGTTGAAGCAAAAGAAAACAGGGAAAAAAGAGGTTTTTTTTTTCAAACGGCCACCATTTTGTTATAAGGGGGTTTTTTAAAAATCGGAAAACGATAAGGCCCCCCAAATTTAATCTATTTTAATAATTTTTTTGGTTTTTTTGTTTCCGATCAGCTGGCAAGGCTGTGGAATGTCCCGCGCACATAGAACCACGCCGTGTGGACTGAGAGCTGGAGCCGCCATTTTTAATTATTTTCTTCCGAAAAAATTCTAAATTAATCTTCATTTGTGTACAAATAAAAGCCGCGAAAATTTTTTTCTAAATGTACTTATTTTATATAAAAAAAAATTCCTGAAATTGAGGCATTTTTTGGGCCTCTGAACGGTAACCTCCTTTTAAAAGTTTATAATAAATAAAATACGGAGTTAAAGTGCAGTTTAAACAGCACTAGTGCATAAAGTGCACTGCCACTATAGGATCCCCTTAAGGGCTGAAAGTTCTAACAACATAATTTTCATTGCAATAAAACTTCTCCAATACGTCACATATCCAAAAAATATGCCAAAATACATTAAAATGTATATGTCAATAAACATTAACCTTTTTGACAATTTTAACTGCAAATTTCTCAAAATTGTGACTGAACGGGGATTGTTTCGCCCCGGAGGCAAAAGTTGCGAAGTTAATGCGTTTGCTCGAAGGACCAGAGGGACAATCGGTTCCCTCACAATCAGTTTTCGCGAAGGCAAAAGCGCATGCCAGCGAAATAATAAAGCGAAGCGACTCACCGTGTCGGTCGTCCCCGTGAGTCCGCCGGGCCTCGTCCTGTCCTCTGAACTCGTGGCCGCTCCGTGGGTCTCGTCTCGTTTGGCATGCGGCAGACAAGCACGTGCAAGCGAGCAAGCAGTGGAGAGCAAGCAATAGAGCAGGCAGGAAAGAAAAGCAGTAGGAGAAGTGCACACTCCTGGTTAAGCAAAGCGGCGAGGCGATTTCGGTCCGTTCTCCCCGGCTCCTTGACGATGGAGGCCGGAGGACGACTTGATGATGAGAGCTCGAGGCTGGTGTACTACTCCCTTCTCCTTCTAACTCGCTGAGATAGAAAGAGAAGGAAGTATACTCGTGTGCACTTGGGTGACGTTTTCGAACGCAGCCCTGAATGATCTTCTTCTTCTTCTTATTATAATGGCCGTCGAGCGCTGCTCAAATAAAGGCCAGGGCGAACCAATAGTCGTATAATGAAAAACACAATGCAGACAGTAACAGTCGCAATACTTTAAAAAATTTTCCTTTCGGATAAAACACGTCCGATCCGGTCCGTGCCCGTTGCGGCTCTAGCCCTGAATGATGAGTGCCCGCGCCCGCGGTCCTGAAATGTGCCGCGGGCGAGTAGTTGTTCCCTTTCCGGGGGGGGGGGGGGGAGCTGCCGTCGGCGCCGCGGCGGGTGGGCGATCCGCGATGGCAGCACCGACAAGTGAGTCGCATGATTTGACTGCTCGCGATCCGCCGATGTTTCGCGCGAGAATTACAAATGCGACGGGGTAACTACTTATGACTTATGCTACTAAGTATGAATTATATACAACTATATGAACATAAAGTGGCTAGACTAACGACTACACTATATACAAGGCGATACGCCGAACAGTGACGTAATAGAGCAATTTAGTAAACGGGATCATATTTAACAAAAAACTACGATTATTCTCGTTCTTATGCAATTTTTTTTGTTGAACAGTTATTAGAGAAACGAGAAAATACATTTGCTGTCTAGAATCTAGAAGAATAATTTAAATAATGCTCAATATTTAAGTATCTTTATTATCTTTAATCATGAAATAATGTTAGGAATGAGATGCAGTTTGAATTTTCTATCTATTACTATAGTTGATACCTTTCAAAAAATTCTATGACTTCTTATAAATATGATATTAACAAAAATTCTCATATTTTGAAAAACAACAGATATTTGGTGCTGCACTTTATATACTTGCCTATATGCATATTTATGTAGTTGTTTATTACTATAAAAAATATGATACATTAAGGATTTAAGTGACATTAAGTTAAGAGTTTAAATTTTTGCTTAGAATCCAATGAAAGATTGCAAGTGCATTTGAAAGAAAGAATGCACGCGTTAGAAGAAAAGAACGCGCTTACTCAGGAACTCGAAAAAACGAGAAAAGTGGCGGAGGATTTGCAAAACGAAAAAACTGACATTGTTAAAGAATTGGGCAAGGCGCGTCTGGAAATCGACAACGTTAAAAGACAAATGCTCCAGCAGGAAATTGCGTTTAATATTCAACAAACAGACGCATTAACGAGAAGTTTGTCGCCAAACGCTGTGGATCCAGGCTCCTTCTCGAGGAGCGCAAGTCACAGCAGTTTCGACACACACTCGTTGCCTAGAAGAGGAGGTAAACGGTCAATCGAAGATGATTCATCGAAGGTACTGGTATCCTTTATATTAAGTTATAAACTGTACTAATTAATCGTACTATGTAAGTCTAAAAATAAATATAACATGAGTTTGGATACTTTAGAATTATGTTGCACGGACTTTGGCGGAGCAGGAGTGGGAAAAGTTGCAACAAGCACATGTGCTCGCTAATGTCCAACAAGCGTTTGATGTTTCGAGTGACGCAGAAGGCGACGGGGATAACGAAAGTATCTTCAGTTGTGCGGCAGACGTAATTAGCCCTACTGGGCATACGGATGCCCAAACATTGGCATTGATGCTGCAAGAACAATTAGATGCTATTAATAAGGAAATTAGATTAATTCAGGTAATTGGTTATACAATTTTAAATGCATAGATCTGTCTTATATAAATTTAGAATATTAATGTAAAAGTTGATGAAATAAAGTATTGCAGACTCAACAGATTCTATTTACACACTGATTTTTGTCTATTTTAATATTCATCCTTCTTTAAATCTCAAAGAAGCAATAATTTTTAAGTCCGGGGCGATTAAACATGGAGAATTTTGTAGGAAGAGAAACAGAGTACGGAAGCACGTGCGGAAGAACTGGAGTCTCGCGTCGGCAGCCTCGAACACATGAATCTATTAGCAAGGGGCCGAAGCCTCGAACGAGCATCGCCGCCACTGAGCGGCCGATCTACACCAAAATCGCACCACAGTCCAAACAGGGATTATTTGCATAAGTACCACACCGTTAGTAATCACGTAAATGCAATAATTATTTATTTATGTCGGTTTGATTACATAGAGTATGAGCAAAGCGATCATATTGCTTATAATATATTTCTGTATTTTCTTTTTCACGTAGGCACCTGCGTCAATGTCTCCGGCGCATTTACATCAATATGCCGCTTCCTTAGTTAGTCCGGGTCAATTATCGGAATCTCTTCCTGCCAGTCAGGTTAGCTAGTAACTCAATTTAGATAATTGTTATTAGATTAACGCAAAAGATTTTTTGAATAAGGTTTACAATAAAATTATATTTTGAAATAATTTTTATTAATTGAAATTTCAATTAATTTTAGTATACTTTTTCTAGCTAGAAAAAATTGCTGAAACCCTTCTTAGAAATTCAGTATTATATAAGAAAAACTCAAAACTGTTAAGAGAAAAATGAAAAACTGTCTTTTTCTTGGCATCAAAGATAGATAATAACTTGACAAATAATAAATTGCAATATACAGTACCATAATGATATTATGAGATATTTATATATTTATTAGAAACATATTTTATACATATGACGTCTCAAAGGATATTTTCTTAATGACAGCTTGCTTGGACAATTTTTTTTCTTAATGAAAATATTAAGAAAATATATCGATAATTTCCGATTCATAAGCGATTGAAAAAAAAAGCTTTCGCAAAATAAACTTTGAAAGGCTGAACGGATAACAATGTACTTAACCTGCACTTAATTTCAGATGTTGAGTTCATAGAATTAATTAGTGAATCTTAAGCACAAAAAGATATGGTGCACGAAAATTGGAATGTTGTAATAAATGTTTTGATGTTCTCCTGTGACATTTCTGCTATAATCGACTTTAAATTGACCAAAGACTTTATCATTAAAAAGTTTTGATAGAGAGACCATATTTGATATACCATATAAATTGCATACAGAAATGGAATAACACTTCCCATCTGTAACAGTTGCAGTTGTCAGGAGAGGAACTGCACTCGGTTAGCGAAAGAGATAGTACCGGTGGTGTTGGAAGTGGTGGCAGCGACGCAGCATCTCCTTTAACAGCCAGGTCTCTGAGATTGGAACGAGTCGTTCAAGCATTGGCCCATAGCCAGGAAGAACTTAGAAGGTATATTTTATATTTTGTTAGGAGAGGAATCTCGATTCCTAAGACAAACTAATTTATATATTTTTATATTTTTATAATGTAAATTATTTTTGACATTTTGGCAATCGCATTTCTAAAATAGAACAAGTGAAATATCGAATATCTTATAGTCGTGCCAAAAATCATTACAAAGGATATATGCAATGTGGGGAAACTTTAATTTTTATATATTTGTTACATCTTAATTATATTGTATATATGGAGTTGAGATTAGCCGAAGTTTATTATTATTGCTTAAGTTAGTACTTTACATTGTTTGTGCTATCAGACGTACCGGACAGAGCGGATTTCCGAGTGCTGGTTTCCCCACGCACAGGTTAATTAATAATACTAATATTGCATGTAAATCACATAATTAGGCTGCGTTCGGAAACGTCACCCG